CACAACAATGTGTAAAAAATCATTGTTCAAGAAAAAAAAAGGAATATTGCAAATGTAGCCTATGCTTTCGACTTCTTTCTTTCCCCAGCATAACAGGGAGAAATTAGCACAAAGGCAGACTTTCTAACTTCTAATTCTTTCTCTCCAGCAGGAGCTCACTGAATATTTCTCCATCATGTACACTGTTGGATATGCCATTTCTCTGAGTTCTGAAGCTGTGGATTTTCTCCTTATTGGTATTTTGGGTGAGCAATTGCCAATCAATGTCTTTTCACAATGGGACAAGTTTTGTTTTTTATTATTGAGAAACTAAAAGTTCTCAGAAACTGCTGCACAACAAAACATCTCACCAAATTGCTTTTAGTCAGTGTATTGTTATTCCATTATTTCACTTGAGAAACAAACCCTTATTGCACAGACTTCCGCGTTTAGCCAAGATGGTGTAACGGAGCATTTACTCTCCTGCCTGAAACAACCACAAAACTAGGCAAAATATATGAAGCAATAGTTTTTAAGACAATAGACACCAGGCAATAAAGGACAGTGATGTCTGGGAGATGAGACTCATCCCCAAGTGAATTTTGTACCATTGGGCAGAAATTTGACCTGAAATACAGAAAAAGAAACATATGTAAAACATGCACATAAGTAATACAATGCTATACAGTGTCATCTGCAGTGTTATTTGTTTATTTATTTATTTATTTATTTATTTATTTATTTATGTATTTATATATTTATTTCAGGCATTCAAACTTTTGTTCAGTTCATAGCAATGCAGAAGACAAGCTAGGAAATGTATGAATGAATGTCTATGACTTCAATAGGTCTGCTTTACTTAGTAAACTCAACTATTTCTGTTTTAAAATTGTCTCTTTCTAAACACTTAAGTAATTTGTGTTTTCAGTTCTGGAAATGGGAAGTCATGTTAGTATGTTCACTGAACAAAAAAGTAATGTATATGAGGACTGGTATTTTTGCAATCAAGCATTGGTAGTAGAGTTGGACCTATTTGCCAGGTTATTAGGTATATTCTATAATACTTTTTTTTTTTTTTCTAAAAAAATTTTTAATGTTTATTTATTTTTGAGAGAGACAGAGTGTGAGTTGGGAAGGGGCAGAGAGGCAGACACAGAATCCAAGGCAGGCTCCAGGCTCTGAGCTGTCTGCACAGAGCCCAATGCGGGGCTTGAACCCACGAACTGTGAGATGATGACCTGAGCTGTAGTCAGAAGGTGAACGCACTGAGCCACCCAGATGCCCCAATAATACTTGCTTTTTTTCAAAATGAAATTCATGAATTCTCTTTTCTTTATAGACTTAGATCTCTATATTAGAAATGAATGGCTCTGAGCCAACTCTTGACTGTTAATGCCTAATTTGTAAAGGTCCTTTAAATTCCAAAGGTATTTATGCTAACTCTAAGCTTTTTTTCTTGATTCTATTTAATTTTGTATACTTGCAAGAAATACATTTCAACAGCTTTTAAAAAAAGAAACTAAAGCTTCTCAATTTTCTTTAATGAAGAATGGACAGACAATGTGAAAAATTCTAGTTTTAACATTTAGCTTCTTTTTTATGATGGTTCTCTTTGACCATTATTAACTGATACCGAACAATTCTGAGATATTTCTTGCTATTTTACTATAAAGTAGGGTTAAAATGAAAATAGAGTGGGGTCACGTTGAAAATAGTAATGGAAAGAGAAAAGGTACAAGTGAGACCTCCATCTCCATAAAAAAGCAGAAATTTAGTAAACCTGATTAAAGGAAAAAGAAAAATAGTACTCTGTGCTTCCAGTGAAAACAACTAGACTAAAACTACCATGCGATTGTTCAGCATTGTCCTGGCGTTCCGGTAATAACTATCATCCACCTCGTCCACTGGTAGCAGAGAGTTCTAAATATTTCCACAACTGTCCCCAGGTGCATTGTGATTCATACCCAAATTGGATCCTATTGCTATGTAAATAGTATAATCTGAAGTTGAAGGAGAGTAAATTAACTATAAACCCTATGTGTCTTCTGATTCCTCAGAACCCCCTATAGTTTAATGAACAGAGAAGTTTTATATTAATTCCAAAGTGCCAATTATCCACAAGGACAATTTCAGTTAGTAAATAACAGACTTAATATTGATGGTGTCTTTACTTCTATTTTTCCCCCAAACATTTTTTAGCAGTGAAATATGTTTAAAAAGAAAGAATGGTAATATATTAAACAAATCAAAGCAAATGGACATGATTCCACAGATTAAATTTTATTTTATTTTATTTTATGTTTATTTTTGAGAGAGAGGGAGAGAGACAGAGCATGAGTGGTGGAGGGGCAGAGAGAGAGGGAGACACAGGATCCGAAGCAGGCTCCAGGCTCTGAGCTGTCAACACAAAGCCCTACATGTGGCTTGAACCCACAAACCGTGAGATCATGACCTGAGCGGAAGTCCGATGCTTAACTGACTGAGCCACCCAGGCGCCCCTCCACTGATTAAATTTTAGTTGTTTGCCTGAAAATATATTACTGGTTAATGAATCTGGGAACTTCTGAGGAAAAGCAGAACTCAGTAAACACTGCTCTTTATATATATATATATATATATATATATATATATATATATATATGTGTGTGTGTGTGTGTGTGTTTAAAAAGACTTCAATTCTACTCTCTTTCTCTCTCTCTCTCTCTCTTCTGCACCATTCCTCTCGACTTAAATTTATACACCTAAGCTAGAAAGATGAAAAGAAAAATTCATGTGTAACAAAACAGATATGTCATCAAAACACCTAAGGTCCAGGTTTCAGTTTAGTCATTCACACTTTGCAGGACCCTTGGACTCTTCAAGATTTGGATTACTAATGATAATAAATTCAGGTTATGCTCATTCTAGACATGCATACTTGCCCAGTTTTTCAGATGGAGAAGTTCTAGAAATGGCTTGTGTTTAGCTAAGATCTGGAGCCGGGGTGATCCTGCTGCACCCCATGCAGTGCCCACTGGCCGAGAGTTCTGATTCTGTGCATCCCTGTGCACTGACAGATCTTTGGGACTGTTGCTTCTCAGACAGCTCCTTGGAGAAGTCAGGTAACACAACCAGGGAGTGTGAAAGATTTAACTTGGACTAATGAGAGACAGGGGATAGGAGGAAGTCAGTGCACAAATTCTCTCTTTTCTCCAAAGCCCCTGGATTACTCTCCATGAGTACATGTTAGGAGGACTTCTCTTGACATTGAGAAACCAAATGCATTCATGACGATGTAACTGGCTCAGTAAGATTGCCCTCATATTCACTTTTTCTGTCTCATTCTTCCTTTTCCCCCACCCTTCCATCCTGGAATCGCTCTACCTTCAAATATTATTAAATAAGCTAACTTTGAAGGATATGCTTTCTCAGCCATCCAGAGAAAGGCATTCCTAAAAGCAATTCATCTAGGAGATCAAAATGATAACCTAATTACTAAATAGTTGTCAAGATCAAAGAGATTAATTAAATGAATAAAAGCATGAGTGGATGGACAGATTTATTCATTTACTCAGCAAATATTTATTGAATACTTACTTTGTACCAAGCATTGCGATGGCAAATGGAGATTCAGCAGAAAACAAACCGAAAATATGTTCTGCTTTCGTGGAGCTTACATTCTAGGGACAGAGATGTTGTGTGTGCCCTAGTTTCTCTGCCCATGTGGAGACAGTTTTGCCTTTGCCTTCTCAACCTTCTCTCCCTTACCCATATTCTATCCTCTTTTCCATACAGTCCTAGACATCATGGTCAGGATTGTTTGCACCAAGAGAAGGATATAAAAAAGGTAAAGCTAGAAAGGCGGAAGGAAAATGTGAATGGCAGTGAACTGGTATTTTTATTTTTCTTTTTCAAATGTTTATTTACTTTGAGAGAGAGAAAGAGACTGGGGGAGGGGCAGAGAGAGAGAGAGGAGAGAGACACAGAGAGAGAGAGAATCCCAAACAGGCTCTGTGCTGTCAATACACAGCCCAATGCAGGGCTTGATCCCACAAACCATGAGACCATGACCTGAGCCAAAATCAAGAGTTGGGCGCTCAACAGACCGGGCTACCCAGGTGCTCCTGAACTGGTGATTTTGATGGGCTTTAAGCAAAGAGAGTGTGGGGGAAGAGAGGGAGATCTGCTGAGCTCCTGAGTGTGGCTGTATAACTGTAAGAGAATTGGGGTGCAGAGGAAAGGGGATGTTTGCAAGCATTCCTATTATTCATTTATTGGACTCCCATTAGTGAACATCAGTAGACACAAGTTTGAAATCAGTGATGGTTTGTTTTTTTAATTACTTCTGAGTACTAAGACGTACTTCAGTGTGAGAGCATTCGGTTCTGGGCCATAGAATTTAAAAATGGATACATGGAAAACGTGCGACATAGCTTTGAAAATGGGTCATTGGAGCTACATATATTGGTTGTCAATGATATTCTTTTCAGTCTTTCCAATTTTACCAAAATCTTATACTTCCTATTTGATTTTCACTCTTTCCTTACCTCTTGAGGAAACATACTTTCTTGGTAAATTTTCACATATATGGAAAAGTAGAAGAGATAAAAGGGAAAAGGAATGTAGAGAAATGTTGGAAATGAAAAGAGAAGGGTGGAGTTAAGCTGTTCCAAAGAAAAAAGACACGGAACAGAGACTTTCCTTCTTCCTCCGCAGGAGTTCCCTTTTCTACAGCATGACTTTTTCACAAGGAGATAACATATTTTTCAGAATTTGGCTTTCTTTTGTTTGCCACTTCCTATTCTTACTCCACTGGTTGTTCTGTCGAACAAGATCACTTAGGCCATAGGGAACACGTACACAGCCAAACTAGAGCCATAGATTATGAGAATGATTTATATAAGATGGAAGCAAAGAGGAACGGAGCGGAAGGGAAAGAGAAGACCAAAAAAGCTACACCAACATTCTAAATTTACTTTAAGAACTAAAAGCGGGCCATTTTATTTTAGGCCATCCATCCCTCCTCCCCAATGGTATCTGTTTTGCATGAAGAGCAAGAAATCAAGAAAGGATGAGGGAACAAAAAGAATATTCTTCCCTGCCGGTGGCTGCACCACCTACCTAAGCAAAGTGATCGCATGGCTGGGACCACAGGTGTATGATTGCTTCAGGTGAGTGGTGAGGTGTAAACATTTGCAAGGCTTTTCCCTTTTACCTCCATCTGGTGAGGAAAATGTAAACAAGAACAAACAAGTAAACAAAAAGAGCCCATGAGAATGTCAAATTACGTTAGTAGTCACAGTGTATCCATGTGCCAAATCCATAGAGAGTTGTCAACCTGAATGTAAGCGGGTTCTCAAAATTCATTCTCAATGTGAAATACGAGTTGGAAGAAATGTGTGATTTCTGGTGTAAGAAAATTAAGAGTGGATTTGTCTCATCACTGTTCTTTACCTTGCTCACGTGGATGAGGTGTGGGAGATGCCTGTAAGGTGATTGAATTGCGCAAAGAAAACTGCCAGTGTCCCAATTCCTACTTCTGGTATATCCCTGGAAAAAGACCACAAAGTCAAGTCCATAAAAGTCACATTTAGGTCTTTGGAAAAAATCACCTCCTCTGATTTCAAACTAGGGCTAGGGTTAGGGTTGGGCGTGGGCTTGGAATTGGGGATGGAGTTAGGATTAAGGGTAGAGTGAGATTTTTAATCTTACAGGGTGGCTGAGGAATAAGTACATCATGTTCCTTTTCAGCAGAAATCAATAAGGATTGTAAGTTTTATCATTTCCCAGCACCAATAACAGGTCATTATCCCTCCCTGTCTCAAGCTATTTCTCTTGAGGAAAACATTAGTGTGAATATTGGAGCCTTAGATATGACGTTTATAAGATGCTCAGAATATATTATATGAATACTTTGCTGAATAGTGAATAAAGCACAGCTTCCCATATTTGCAGGAAGCATAGTTCTGAAGCCAGCCTCTTTATCCCAGTATTCCCACCTTAGCTAGTCTCCAGGCAAAGCAGTGACTCCAGAGGAAGGGAGCCCCTGTGGCTGGTGTCCAGGAGAAAGCAGCAAGACCACAATACTTCCTAGTGATCTGTAAATTGAGCACTTTCAGATTTCATTTAATAGAGCTTGCCTGCCCAGAAACACTGAAAGTCAATTATGTTATAAAACTAATGTTCAGAGCTGTTGAGAATTAGACATAAAGAACATCTAAAAATGCAATTGCTCAAGCTGCTCTTGGGTCTTAATACGAGATTGTTTACTTTTTAGTGACTATGATAATAAAATTAATTTTTGGTCTTTTTAATTACAATTAAAAATCTTACACTAATGCAAGGCAGATGGTTCTAGATTTATATACACAAGGCAAAAATCAGTTAAGATAATTTCCTTTTTAATGATGCATATTTTAACCATGATTACAATATGTATTTGCAACATGATTAAGAAATATTTTGCTTAGTTTCATAAGAAAAATATTGCCTCAATGCCAATATTAAGTGGACCAAAATTCAGAGTGTGTGGCTTTCATTACTGAGCAATAATGTGCTATATTACCTACCAGGGACATAATCCGTGGAGTTTTAAACGAGTTGAGAACAATACCACAGTAACATGATAATGAAAGTTGTAACTTATTGATATAGTAAATAATTCTCTTACCATGGCTCAACTTCCACAGAGCAACTTTAAAGAAGGAAAAAAGTGTTTTCTTCTTACCCTGTTTTCTCGTCCTCATTTTTGTGTCTTTAGTTTTCTACCCAGGTTCTGACATGTTTAGGGAAGTTTTTTGCTGGGGTACAAGGAGAGAAGGATAGGATGCCACATTCTCTGCCTCTGATGGGAGCTCCGCTGAATGTAGTTCTCCTCCCACATTTCTGACATAATTAGGGGCACAGGAACCTCTTCAAGTGTTCTTTCAAGAACCAAATGACAGAACAGAACCTACGAAATTTCTTTCTAAGCCTCAGAATGAAGCACAGAATAATGGAATTCACAGCTAAACCAATAACCAAGATTTTTCATCTAGAAAATAAACATGTTTGTCTCTGGGAATGGAAAGGCAAGGGTTGGCTGTGGAAGAAAACATGATCAGTAAAAATGATTTTTTTTTTCAACTTGAAATATGTAGCTAAGCTGGGGAATGAGGAAACAAAGTTAAATCAAATTGTCACTCAACTTTTTTTTTTCTGGTAAGCTATTTATAATACCGAACAAGAAGCTCTGAAATAGAACCTAATTTCAAGATAGTAATGAGCAGGAAATGTCAGGAATGGAAGGAAGAAGAAGAAAAAGGATACAAGGAGACTTCTTACTCAAAGTATGATTTCAAATGGAAATTCTAAAACATATAAATGAAAAAAGGCTGTGATAGCAAAAAAAGAAGACAGAGATTTATGTATAGGATATATTTTTGTCTGGCTGAAATTAAAATATGAGAGATGTCTGAAAAATTAAATGTACTTTAGATTCTAGAAGAGACAAATTAAAAAATAACAATAATAAAAAAGAATGATAATATTATTAACATTTATATCAAAAACATTATGTGCCAGACATATTCTATGAGTTTTATGTGTAACAGCTTAATAATTTTTACAACAACCCTAAGAAAAAAATTCCCATTTTGCAAATGGAGAAACTGAGATGTGGGAAGTTTAAGTGATTTGCCCAATCTAACACAGTAAGTGGTGGGGATCAACTTTTTTTTTTTTTTTAATTTTTTAAAATGTTTATCTACTCCTGAGAGAGAGAGACAGCATGAACAGGGGGTGGGCAGAGGCAGAGGGACATACAGAATCTGCAGCAGGCTCCAGGCTCTGAGCTGTCAGCACAGAGCCTGATGCAGGGCTTGAACCCACAAACCGTGAGATCATGACCTGAGCCGAAGTTGGACACCCAACCGACTGAGCCACCCAGGTGTGGTGGGGCTCAACTTTGATCCCATGTAATCTGACTCCAGAAACTGGGTTCTTCACCACTGTATGCCAGAAATTTAAAAATAAAAAAATAAATACAGAAAGAAAAGAGTGAACTGAAATGGAATAAGTATTAATAAATATAAAAATAATCAAAGACAAAGGTTGGCAATGAAAAATTTAGTCAGTGAAATAAAGAGGCATGAACAAGATAAACTTCAGTTTTCATGAAAAAAGAAAGAATAATTTGGGAAAAAGAATTGAGGAACTGATTAGAATGCATCCAGATAAACAGTGAGATAAAATGTCTATTATTTTCAAACAGTTAAAAGAGATTTAGAAACTCTAAGATCCAAAGGAATTAGAGAAGAAGAACAGAGAAAACAGTGGTGAAGAAAAAACTGAAGAGATAGATCATGAGAAATTTCTACAAATTAAAAAAGCGTGAGTTCAAAATTAAAAGTTCACTTCAACTATAAATTCTCATCATTCATTTATCTCCTATGTATGTGTCTCTACAAATAGAGACAGTTTAATTTTTTCCTTTCCAACACATATGCCATTTATTTCCTTTTCTTACCTTATTGCACTGGCAAGAATATCTTGCACTATGCTGAATAAGCCTGGTGAGAGTAAACATGTGACATTTTCCCAATCGTAGGGAGAAAGCATTCAGTCCTTTTCCATTATGTATTATGTTATCTACAGGCTTTTTGTAGATGCTATTTATCAAGTTGAGGAAGTTCTTCTTTATTTTTATTCCTTCAAAAGTTTTTTTTATCATGAATGTGTTAAATTTGTCAAATATTTTCTTGTGTGTGTGTATTAACTGATACAATCATGTACTTTTTTCAGTATGGTAGATTACATTGATTGATTTCTGAATGTTGCATCTTTTCTATGAACCCTATCAGGTAATTACGTATAATTTTTAAATATTTCCCAAATTCTATTTGCTAATATATTTAAGGATTTTTGCATTTATATTTATGAGGAATATTAGTTTGCAGTTTTATTTGTTGTACTGTTTTTTTGTCTGGTTTTGGTGTCAGCTTCATAAAATGAAATGAGTTCTATCCTCATATTTTCTGGAAGATATTTTGTAGAACTGGTGTTAATTCTTTACATGTGTGGTAGAATTTTCTACTGAAATCATTTGGATCTGAAAATTTCATTTCGGGGAGAGTCTTTTAAAATTATAAATTGAGGATGCCTGGGTGTCTCAGTAGGTTAGGTGTCTGACTATATTCCAGCTCAGGTCATGTTCTCATGGTTTGTGGGATAGAGCCCTGCATCAGGCTCTGTGCTGGAGCCTGCTTTGGATTCTCTCACTCATTTCTCTGTCCCTCCCTCCCACCCCCTCTCTTTCAAAATAAATAAGTAAACATAAAAAAATAAAATTAAAAATTGAATTATCTCAATAATTATTGACTCAGTAGTTATTGCGTATTGAAATTATTTTACATACAGTGAGTATAGTAATTTTGTTTCTAAAGAATTAATCCATTTAAAAAAAGCTTTTTTAGTGTTTACTTACTTTTGAGAGAGAGAGAGAGAGAGAGAGCATGAGAAGGGGAGGGGCAGAGAGAGGGAGAGACAGAATCTGAAGCAGGTTCCAGGCTCTGAGCTGTCAGCACAGGCCCCAACGCAGGGCTCAAACTCATGAACTGTGAGATCATGACCTGAGCCAAAGTCGGACATTTAACCGACTGAAATACCCAGGAGCCCCCCAAAGAAGTGATCCATTTTGTCTAAGTTGTAAAAATATGTGTATATAGTTGTTTGTAGAATTCCCTTATTATTATTTTTATGTCTGCAGGGTCTGTAGTGATATTCTTTCTTTCATTCCTGGTATAGGGATTTGTGTCTTCTCTCTTTTCCTTAGTAGTTTTGCTAGGGGTTTTCTTCCTCCTTCTAGCCTCTTTGGTTAGAGAAAGTAGTCTTTGCTAGGGCACTTTTGTCTGGGCTTTCTGGTTGTTTCCAGGCTGCTGGCTTCTTCAGTCCCCAGTATGGGATATATGAGGAGAAAACCAAAACCTGATGAACTCCCCATCATGTTATTCCTTTTTGACTTTATGGGAGCAGTATGGGAGGAACAGGGAATAGGATGTCTACTTTATATTCCTGGAAAGGGAAATCCTCTTACAATTGTTTTAAAGAAGGAAACTTCGGGCTTTTTCTGTTTTTTTGTCTTTCAGCGACAGATAATTAAAACACGTGCCAGCTTATTCTGTGAGGTTTATCAGCTTCATAGACAAGGACACTATGAAAATTGAAAAATCAAGCTCATCTTCTATTTGTCCATACCCATTCTCTCAACACCAAGGTGGCCAGGATTCTAGTGGTCCCTCAGCTCTGGCGTGAGCTGCGTTCGCCAGGCTTCCTTGGCCTGAGAAGACCAACCTCTAATAGTATCTCTGTGGTCTCCTTAATTCACAAGTACAGTGGGAACTGTCAAGACACTCACTGCTCCATTGCAATGCCCTAAGCTGAGTCACTTGGTGTCAGTCAGCTGTACTGTGTCTTGTTGCCCTTCATGAATAAGAAGCCCATAGAGACTTACGAGGGGTTGATGTCTCAGGTGCTCAGTGCAGCCCAACAGGCTCAGGAATTGGTGGGCAGGGTGGCTGTGAGAACACGCTTCCACAGAGAGGACTTGAAGCTCTGTCTTTACATTTAAAAAAAATTTTAATTTTAGTAGAGTTAACATATAGTATTATATTAGTTTTAGGTATACAATATAGTGATTCAACAATTCCATACATTACTCAGTGTTCATCATGATAAATGTAGTCTTAATCCCCTTCACCTATTTCATTCACCCCCACCCTCACCCCTCCCCTCTGGTAACCACTGGTTTCCCCTGTATAGTTGAGTCTGTTTTTTTGGTTTGTCTGTTTTTTGTTGTTGTTCATTTGTTTTGTTTCTTAAATTCTACAGATGAGTGAAATAATATGATATTTATCTCTCCGATTAACTTAGTTCATTTAACATTATACCCTCTATATCCATCCATGTTGTTGCAAATGGCAAGATTTAATTCCTTTCTATGGCTGACTAATATTCCATTGTATATAAATACGACTTCTTTTTTATCCATTCATCAATTGATGGACACTTGGGCTGCTTTCATATTTTGGCTATTATAAATAATGCTGCAGTAAACAAATGGGTGCATATATCTTTTTAAATTAGTGTTTTCATTTTCCCTAGGTAAATATCCAGTAGTGGAATTACTGGGTCATAGGGTAGATCTATTTCTAATGTTTTGAGGAAGCTCCATACTGTTTTCCACAGTGGCTACACCAGTTTGCATTCCCACTAACGGTGCAAGAGGGTTAGTTTTTCTCTACATCCTCACCAACACTTGTTTCTTGAGTTTTTTATTTTAGCCACTCTGATAGGTGTGAGGTGATATCTTACGGTGGTTTGATTTCCCTGATGATGAAAAGATGAAGGAGAAATGTCTATTCATGTCTTCTGTCCATTTTTTAATTGGATCACTTGTTGTTTTGGTGTTGAGTTATAGAAGTTTCCTACATATTTTGGATACTAAGTCTTTATTAGATATGCCATTTGTAAATATCTTCTTCCATTCCATAGGCTGTCTTTTAGTTTTGTTGGTTGTTTTGTTTTTGTTTTTGTTTTGCTGTGCAGAAGCTTTTTATTTTGATGTAGTCTCAATAGCTCATTTTTGCATTTGTTTCTCTTGCCTTAGGAGACATATCTAAAAGGATGTTGCTATAACCAATATTAGAGAAATTCCTGCCTGTGCTCTCTTCTAAGATTTTTATGGTTTCAGGCCTCACATTTATGTCTTTAATCCAGTTTGAGTTATTTTTGTGTATGGTGTTAGAAAATGGTCTGGTTTCATTCTCTTGCATGTAGCTGTCCAGTTCTCCCAACACCATTTGTTGAACAGACTGTCTTTTTCCCACTGCATATACCTGCCTCCTTTGTTGCAGACTAATTGACCATATTAATGAGGGTTTATTTCTGGACTCTCTATTCTGTTCTATTTTTGTGCCAGTACAATACTCTTTTGATTACTACAACTTTGTAGTATATCTTTAAATCTGAGGTTCTAATACCTCCAGGTTGGTTTTTTCTTTCTCAAGATTGCTTTGGCTATGCTGGGTCTCATGTGGTTTCATACAAATTTTAGGATTATTTGTTCTCGTTCTGTGAAACATTCTGTTAGTATTTTGATAGGGCTTGTATTAAATCTGCAGATATCATTGGATAGTATGGACATGTTAACAATATTTGTTTTTCCAATCCCTGACCATGGAATATCTTTCCTTTTGTTTGTGTCATTTTCAGTGTCTTTCATCAGTGTTTTGTACTTTTAAGAGTATGGGTCTTTCACCCTTTGGTTAACTTGATTTCTCAGAATTTTATTATTTTTTGGTGCAATTGTAAATGGGATTGTTTTCTTAATTTCGCTCTCTGCTTCTTCATTATTAGCGTATATAATGCAACAGATTCTCTATATTGATTTTGTATCCTGTGACATTACTGAATTCATTTATCAATTCCGTGCTTTGATTCTGATCCTTGGGCCTGATTCCTGTAATTTTTCCTTCCTGGAGGAGCTCTGGTCCATGAAACATGCAAAGATGTGTATATATAACTAGTTAGAGGACATTCTAGATAAAGCTGAATGAGCCAGGTGTGTGTCAGGTCAGGGGTCAGTTGTGTTGTTCTGAAGAACTTGTAAGGGCTGTTTTGAAGAAGTTTGGGGTAGTTTTTTTGGCGGAATCTTTAGGATTTTCTATATATGGTTTCATGTCCTCTGCAAATAGTGAGTTTTTCTTCCCAGTAGGGATGCATTTCATTTCTGGTCTGATTTCTGTGGCTAGGACTTTCAGTACTATGTTGAATAAAAGTGGTGAGAGTGGACATCCTTATCTTATTCCTGATCTTAGGGAAAAACTTTTCCATTTTTCACCACTGAATATGATGTTAGCTGACTGTCTTTGCATGCTTTTGATGCTTCTGTCTTTTTGAGGCATCTGCACTAGCTGCAATGTGACCAGTCTAACAGGCCTTCTGCTGGTGACAGCTTCACCTTTATTTTGAACTACTTGATTTGAAAAAAAAAGTTTGACTGAATTATAATTTTAGTTGTATTTTCACAAACTCAAAGCATGGATTTCATTTGCTTCTCACTTCATGCTATTTTTCTTGTCCATCAGTTGAACTGCCTGACGTGTGGCTCCATTACACATGTGCAATGCTGAGTGGGTCTGGTGAAAGAGAGGGGTGATGATGAAGACGAAGAGAGAAGATGGGCTACCATGGACGATAAGATCTTCTGGCACAAAATCTCATGATTCTAACAGAAGTCACCAGAGGGATTTGCACTGTGGCCTATTAAGTACATTTGCTCAAAGAGCAAATGAAGTCCCCCTAACAAAGTTGCCATTTTGGCTGGGCTGGGGTAGGAGCCATCTAGAAAAGTTATACGTATCAACCGTCAAACCCACACCCCTCTTTCATTTTACCTTTCACAAACTCTTCCTCTCTGACTTTCAGCTAACCAGGGAGAATGACATTTTCTGATTATCCAAAATTGCTTTTAAACGTGGTGGAACTAAAAGCACTTTTCAGGAATCCGAAAGGGAATTTTACAGAGATGTTTACTGACCTTTCAGATAATGAAGCTACCTGGGTGGGTAGAAGAATACAGACTGTCCTCAAGTTAAATAAAAAGAAATCCGTCTCGCAGCATGGTCTATTCAGCCCCATTTCTGACAAAAAAGGAGGTCATATCCCTAGTAGAGCCACACTTCGTGAAAGATCTTACTGTATAATGGTTTGTATGATTTTTAAACACTGTGCTTCTTCTATTACATCATAGTCATCCTATAAAATCTCTGATTATGGTAATCAATTCAGCATGGTGTGATACAGTATGCAGTAACAAAAATTCATCACCAGACTCATTCCCTGCAAAATTCTGACCCCTAATCAGTGTTCCAAGAAAAGTAATATATGTTAAGGGAAAATAAACACATGGAGAAATACCTTGCTTAAGTAAACTATGTGTGCATAGCTTACTTCAAAGTCAAATTCGATTCCAATATCCTGGAAATTTGTATGCAAATGTTACTCTTTCAATGTGTGGCTATGTGGTCTATACTATTTTAATGTTCTACTCTAATATTAATATTGTTTTAAAGAGAAATCTAGCATAACTGATAAAATTAAATAAATTTGATGTCATAAAAATAAAACTGAGGCTGAAATGAAACTGACCTTTTGAGGATTTAAGGCTGAAATCCTTTCAAAATTTGTCAGTTTGGTTGTTTACTTGTTTGTTTGTGGTAGGTCAGGGATTCTAATGCATCTAAAATTTAAGCTTTTCAAATAGATAGCAAAAGCATGGAGTCTTTCACTGGCATTTTCCCAAAAAGTTATATTATATCATATCATGAATAAAATTATCCCCTACGTGTAATGCTAAGGCAAAGGAAGGTCTCCAAATTTCTAAATAACTCCATGACTGCTACAGCATATGGATTTTTCCTGTAGTACTCTGATATCCCGTGGAGTGCTAACCCAGAATAGTTGTAAGTTTCACTCACCTGCACTGACAAAAAGCGAGGTTTATTCCTCCTTGTTTTCTCTGTCACTTCATTCGATACACTGCTTGCATGGTACTGGCATGAAAGGACCCAGTCAGTATCTAAATTTCCAATAATTACAGGAGGATATTCAAACGTGGAGAGGGAGATCATATAGTACAAAAGATAAAATAGAAAATGGAAGTGTTCAGCTGAACTCATAAAGGATTTCTTTATTTTGTCCCCTTTAATTTTCAGAAAAGCAGATTAATGGTAGAGACAGCTTATTAGGGAATGAAACCTTCCATCAACTGGAAAGACAACCATGCGTGAGAACTCTGACACAATCAGATGCTGTCTACATTGAATATTTCAATACTCAGGATGGTGTGGTGATGGAGGCATAAGCTATTCTTTCTCACTAATTGGTGACTGCTATTATTTTTTTAAAAAGGAAGATCAAATAAAGATACCCCTTCTATTAAATGAGAGTCAAAATAAACTCTAACAAACTTGATTTTAGCAATGTTTGCCCTTAGTTTATAAGCAAGAAATTGGCCACCCCAAAATTCAGACCAACTATTAATAAATGTATTTGCTTCTCCTATGAGGAAATAATAAACCATTTCAAATGAACTAACTCTTCTCAGGTCTCAGAATACCTTTCAGAAATTATCTCTTATGAGACCAATTCATGTTAATTTACTCTGATGTGTCTATGAAACTATGCATAACATCTATGTAAAGATATGTTCACTGTGCATTTTCCTTAAGTGTTTCAGCAGAGGCCACCTACTAGATTTATTCTCCTGATATGCTAAAATTTTGAAATGAATATAGAAAATGGTAGACAATCTGTTCAGGTTTGGGTGTTGTGACCTCAGTGTTCAGGGAGCTTTCCAAGTTAAGGAAGAGTGTGCTGTTAATTATGTGAGAATTTTGCTCACTTTTAAATAAAGGTCAACATTATCCCAAAAGGCTGATGTAAAGAGAGGAAAACAGTACAGTAGTGTGTGGCAAATTAGATATATCGTTTTTAGTAATTCAATACTTTATGGAAAATCCCCAAGGTATCATTCTTTCATGCTTGACTGAGAATGTATTGTTTTCCCACAACAAATTCTTTTTTTTTTTTTTTTCCAGGAATAGAATTTAGTGACTCATCACTTACATATAATACCCAGTGCTCATCCCAACAAGTATCCTCCTTAATGTCCCTTGCCCATTTAGCCCATCCTACCACCCAAAACCCTTCCAGCAACCCTCGGTTTGCTCTCTGTGTTTAAGAATCTCTTATGCTTTGTTTCCCTCTCTGTTTTTATATTAATTTTGCTTCCTCTCCTTTATGTTCACCTGCTTTGTATCTTAAATTCCACATATGAGTGAAGACATACGATATTTATCTTTCTCTGACTAATTTTGCTTAACATAATACACTCTAGTTCCTTCCACATTATTGAAAATGGCAATATTTCATTCTTTTTGAGCACCAAGTAATATTTCATCATGTATATATATACCACATCTTCTTTATCAATTCATCAGTTGATGGGCATTTGGGCTCTTTCCATACTTTGGCTGGATAAACTATAGCGCTGCTATAAACATTAGGGTGAAAATGCCCCTTCGAAACAGCACTCCTGTGTCCTTTGGATAAATACCTAGAAGTGCAATTGCTGGGTTGTAGGGTAGTTCTATTTTTAATTTTTTAAGGAACTTCTATACTGTTTTCCAGAGTGCCTGCACCAGTTTGCATTCCCACCAGCAGTGCAAAAGGCTTCCTCTTTCTCCACATCCTCACCAACATCTGTTGTTGCCTGAGTTGTTCATTTTAGCCATTTTCACAGGTATGAGGGGGTATCTCATTGTGATTTTGATTTATATTTCCCTTATGATGAGTGATGTTGAGCATTTTTTCATGTGTCTGTTAGCTATCTGGATGTCCTCTTTGGAAAAGTGTCTATGGATGTCTTTTGTCCATTTCTTCACTGGAGTATTTGCTTTTTGGGTGTTGAATTTGATAAGTTCTTTACAGATTCTGGATAGTAACTCTTTATCTCTGCAAATATCTCTCCCATTCCATCAGTTCCCTTTTAGTTTTGCAGATTGCTTCCTTCACTGTGCAGAAGTTTCTTTATCTTGATACGGTCCCAATAGTTCATTTTTGCTTTTGTTTCCCTTGCCTCTGGAGACATGTCAAGTAAGAAGTTGCTGTGGCCAGGGTCAAAGAGGTTTTTGCCTGCTTTCTCCTTGAGGGTTTTGATGGCTTCCTGCCTTACATTGAGGTCTTTCATCCATTTTGAGTTTATTTTTGTGTATGGTGTAAGAAAGTGGTCCAGGTTCATTCTTCTTCATGTCACTGTCAAGTTTGCTAAAGAGACCTTTTTTTTTTTCCCCCATTGGAAATTCTCTCCTGCTTTGTCAAAGATTAGTTAGCCATAGTTTGTGGGTCCATTTCTGGGTTCTCTGTTCTATTCCATTGATCTCTGTGTCTGTTTTTGTGCCAGTACCATACTGTTTTGATGATTACAGCTTTGTAATACAGCTTGAAGTCCGGAATTGTGAAAACCAAAGCTGGAGGCATCACAATCCCACAAAAAATTTCTAACTACCCCAGAGATCCTGAAGAGGTTAAGAATCTACCACCTGGAAAGAGAGAACTTTGCTTATGAAATGCCTTAGCAACACCAGGATGCCTGTGGGAATGTGGTGCTGATGTGCCCAAGATATATCTTGCAATACCAGTATTGCAATACTTGATATCAGGAAACAGTAGGTTGTAAAACCCAAGATTGGTTCTCTGCCTCCCACATCCTACCTAATATCAACTGATAATATAGGGCCACAAAAGAGACAATTAATGCACAGAATTAAGGTATAGATCCAGGTTTTGTGGATATAGAAGATTATACACACTGGGGAAACTTCTTTAAGAAAAAGAATCTAGGGTCACCTGGGTGGCTCAGTCAGTAAAGCATCCACCTTCGGCTCAGGTCATGATCTCGCAGTCTGTGAGTTCGAGCCCCAGGTTGGGCTCTGTGCTGACAGCTCAGAGCCTGGAGCTTGCTTCAGATTCTGTGTCACCCCTCTATCTCTCTGTGTCTCCCCCACTCATGCTCTGTGTCACTCTCTGTCTCTCAAAAATAAATAAACATTAAAAAAATTTTTTTAAAAGAAAAAAAATCTAAAATCACAAGTACAGCATCAGATACAAAATGAATTCTTATTTATAGTGAAGAAATAAATCACTATAAACTAGATTATTATAATTATTTTTATTGAGGTATAACTTGTATTAAACCAGATATTTTAGTAAGATGACACATACCATAAATATCATAAAATCCAGACAAATATAATATTCTTATTAACTGCCTAACTCAGTCTTTTATATCTTTTTTTCTTTTTTTTTTAATTTTTTTTTCAACGTTTATTTATTTTTGGGACAGAGAGAGACAGAGCATGAACGGGCGAGGGGCAGAGAGAGAGGGAGACACAGAATCGGAAACAGGCTCCAGGCTCTGAGCCATCAGCCCAGAGCCCGACGCGGGGCTCGAACTCACGGACCGCGAGATCGTGACCTGGCTGAAGTCGGACGCTTAACCGACTGCGCCACCCAGGCGCCCCTATATCTTTTTTTCTTAATCTTTTGATTGCATATTTTTTACATTTTCTTAATATGTCAATGATTTCATATTAGTATTTTCCAGTGGAGAAAAAG